CACACACACACACACACACACACACACACACACACACACACACACACACACACACACACACAGGAATGTGAATCCCTCCTCAGATCAATAATGAGGTTGGTAAAATAGCTTTTAGTTTTTTCATATTAGAAGATATATTGAAATTAGACGCATGTGTTGATCGCTTTAAGTGAATGCTTAAGTGAATCTCAACATTTTATTGTTGTTATTGTTGTATATTCTTCTGGCCTGTATGAATGTGATTTCTGCTGTTAAAGAGCTTTCCTGAACAAACAATGGATGATGAAGGACATCAGAGCAACTTTTTTAAAGAGAGGCTCAATGGTTAATGTGATTCTGGTGGGAATCAGTATACCTAAAACCATGTATGCAGCTCCAGTGTTGTTGCATGTGTTTCAGTTAGAACGGAGGAGGTCACTGTGGTGAATACCTATGATGGATGTGAAGAGCTCAGGAGCCGAGCTGCCAGCGGCCATGAAGGTAGCACCTGCTACGTCCTCGCTGAGTTGGAGACGCTGCAAGAGACAAAAAAACCAAAAACCTGGTATTTTAACATGAAACAACAGCTGCGATTAGAAATGCCTAACCTCTAACCTCTAACCCTGAGCCTGAGCCTGATCATACTGATCTATTGAAGCTTGCGTATGTCCCACTGTGTCAGCACACTGTGAACCTGGGATTTCATCATTCAATGTCAAAACCTGACGGTGAGTCAGTCGGGAAGAAGGAAACTGGATTTGTACATTAAAAAATATTTCTATTTTTTTATCAACTTGGGGAGCCAGCAACACCTTGTTTATGAAGACATAAACATGAACACATTTAGATACACAACATACATATCAACAGTATTCAGTTACTTGAAGAACGCCTGGGAGAAAATAATAAAACCGGTGATAAGAGTACATGTATGATTTGTGACTGATGTCATGTGTCTGTATTTTCTCATGTTTGATACAAAGCGGTATATTATCGTCATGACTCACACTCACACGGTCCTGATGAAGTAGATTAGCTGAGTTCTGGACTGTTGATCTATTTAAGGGATAGTTGTGATGTTGTGAGCTTTGGAAATATATCTAATATATAAATATACTTTCCACTTAAACTGATATTGATTCTTTGTAGTGTCTAAAATACATCCACAGCAGAACACTGCTTTGTTCCATCTGCTGTAGTGAAACACTGACCATGAAGAATCTCAACCCAGCACACTTCAACACATCATCAACTAATAACTACAAACTTTTTAGTGGCTTATTCGGTCTTTAATATTTAATGTTATGAATACATATTTAAGATTTGAAATCAAGTGTATAGGACCTTTTAAAACCTCACATTCATACCTCACACAACTTGTCCAGCGAGGGGACGAAGTAGTCATCACAGACGAGGGCCAGGGCACAGAACATGTAGATTGTCTGTAGAGAGAGAGAGAGAGAGATATTACAGGGATCTGTGAAGCATGAACATATGGCCTGCTGTCATTTAAACATATGATAAGTCCACCCGTCCATAATACAAGTACAGTCATATTTGTAATTGGGCAAGAACAAGTGATGCTGGTTACTACCTCCCATGTCTTATATTGCTGTTTAGTCTCCTCTGAATGAATGTCTATGTACCCTGGATGAAAGCTCTAACTGCTACATTAAAGTTTGATGTCAATTACCATGAAACATGAAGACAGGGATTCAAGTTATTTAAAGCTAAAGATACAAAGATCTGATCCCATGCAAATGCAATCAGACATATAAAGACAACATGAATAACATAACTGTGAGACCACACTATTTACATTTTTAAATAGCAAAGTTAGTTTTCTCATTTAAACATGCTGGCATTACAAAAGGATGATGATGGCTTTTTCTTATTGCGCGACTGAAATAAACTGCAAAAAGCAACGTGAGTTGTTACCTGGAATGACACTATGGGACCAAGTGAAAGCACATGTGACACAAAATGATATTATAAAGCCATATTGCTTTCTTTTTCATTTTATACAACCGTTGGAAGCGTTCAGGTGAAGATTTAGTTTTCCCTTTATACATCTGAATATTAGAGCCTATCAGCAATGGGTTAGTTGGTGTTTAAAGGGACAGTAGTAATGTGTTGAAGTGTGGTTGTATGAGGGTTTTCTCCAAAGTGTTTTACTACAGTAGATGGAGTTTGTTGGAACAGACAGGAGTACCAGCACAGGAGCAAATCAATGTACTGCTGCGGACATATTTTAGACACTAATAGAATGAATATGTACGCTATATTTAGAATATTGTTACTGCTTCACCTTGCTGTCAGACAGCCCTTTGTGACAGGGAACTGAAACCCTTATATCTACTTTGGTGTTTTAGGGAGTTGGTTCAGATTCACCACACTCGCACACACTAACACAAACTAACTAACCGATGGAGGCAGCAGTAGACCAGCAGCCCCTGTGTTCTGTGAGGTGAAATGACTGTTTTTGTCAAAGGAGTCTGTTGGCTTCAGTATGTTGGCATTTTGGCTAAAACAGGTTTCGATGCTGCCGCCTTCCCCAGCAGTACATTGCTTTGCTCCGGAGCTGGTACTCCTGTCTGTTTCTCCAAACTCCATCTACTGTAGTACAACACTATGAGAAGAACCTCTCACAACCACACTTTTAAACATCACTACTGTCCCTTTAAGAAGTTGTCTTGTGTTGCTTTACAGCTCTCATTTGCAGCATGAACATTGGATTTGTATTTTTATACATTTCCTGAAACTTCCAAAAAAGAAGTAATAAACAGTTTGGAAGTATAAATGAAGAGTAGAAAGCTCAGTTAGCTTGTCCTGATACATGCTGTGTATTATACATACAACAGTGTTCAATTACCTTTCAAATTCTTACCACTACAAAGTGTGTCAGGATTCACTAAGACTGTAAATACTCTACTGAAAGCTTTTTAACGTGTTCTTTCCCTGGTGTATTATGCAGAGAAGCAGAGAAGCAGAGACAGACTGGAGATGGAAGACAGACAGCGATGATCAAGAGACAAAGGCAGGTAGTGACGACAGACTGATGGGGAATGTGTGAACCAAGGAAATGCATGAATATCTTCACACTTTGTAATGATGAAGCCTTTAAAAAGGAATGACACAGAGTCATTGTTCCTTTTTCCTCTTGAGTCACATCTTACTTTGCAGCAGGAGCTTTTCTGTTTCCTGAGAGTGAGCTGAGCGGCACAAGAATGAGCCACACACTTTGTGGTGTTTGTGTGTGTGTGTGTGTGTGTGTGTGTGTGTGAAGAAGAGCAATGCCTTTTGTACAAGGTCATCACTCACTGAGATAAAGATTTGTTAATTCAGGGCAAGCAAAAGGTCAAAGGTCCCAGGTAACCCTGATAACTGGGTTTGATCTTGATTCAGATTGGAGGTGGATATGGAGTGAAATATGTGTGCAACATATATGTAAATGAGTGTGCATGTTTAATGTTGCATGCAGACACCGAAGGCCTTAAATCTGGAGTTGTGGTTTTTGAGAGCAGAACTTTTCTTAGAAGTGATGATGCCAGCTGAGTTGGAGGGGCTCGGCAGTACAGCTGTCAAAGAAACAGCAGCTGGAATATTAAAATTCAGCTGGAACCCAAAGTGTTATTATTCACTTTTCTGTCTTCAAGCTAAATCAAATACCAGTGTTGGGACTTCACTATGAGAGAGACACCTACATGTAAAAAATAAAAGCCTAAACTGGTTTAAGTGCAACAAACTAATACAATACAATAAGTGCTGAGTGGAAGGCTCAGGGTAGTACTTCTTGAAGAGGTGAGTTTTCAGCCTGTGCCGAAAGATGGGCTGCGACTCTGCTGTCCTGACTTTGGCTTTGTCCCACTTTGTACTGAGCAGCCAGAACACATAGTATAAGTATTATTATCAGACTAGACAGCATCAAGGCCGATCTTCAGATTGCATATTTTTACTGAATATAGGCCGATAGCGATTGTCAGAAAAACTTCTTTCCACACTGAGATGGTTAAACTGTGTAATTAATCAGCCATTCACATGACTCCCTGGTATTTTATAACCAAAATGCTCCCTCACTGCTGATTTAAGGCCCTTTTTGGAAGATATAAGGCTGGAGTGTTGGTTCCCTCTGAAATGTTTGGCGAGTAGCACGACTCTCTCAAACACACAAAACAAACCAGAGCGCACACACACGTGTTACGTGGCCTGTATATTGTCCACAGGAGATTTCAGCAGACACAAACCTGGAATCAGGACACCATAGATATCGTAGCTTCTTTAATTGTCACGGTTATGAAACCGAGACTTATGTAATCCCGACATCCCTAATTGAATTATTAATAGTTTGTATGATAAAAGATTGTGTATCGATACATTATTAACAAGCAAGGTCGAGGAGACTGCTCTCATTTAGCTTTTGCTCTGGCTCACTTCCTACAACGTTCCAAACCTTGTTGAGGTCGTATCTATACGTACATGGATATATTCATGTCACAGTGGACGATAGCCCATTCTCATTTTAAAAATGTAAACGCTGTTCTCTCCACAAAGCCAAGTACAGCAACACCTGCTGTTAAATGACACAGAGACAATACCTACATCTACATCGTGGAATTTACATACATCAAGCACATCATGAATGAGGAAAATGTTGTCCATAACTGTTCTATCCGGGATACAGTAAGTTTGGTCGCTATTTACAATTACTTCCAAGTAGTCTCTTAGTCTGTTAGATAAGGCTCTGGAAAGCACCTTATAGTCAGTACAAAGCAGGGCCACTGGCCTCCGGTTCTTAAGAAGGACCAAGTCGCCCTTCTTGGGCAGCAGGGAGAGTACTGCCTGCTGGCATGAAACAGGAAGTGATCCTGTTTTAAAACATTCCATCAAAACAGAGTGTAAGTCAGCACCGATAATGTTCCAGAACTGCTGAAAGAAGTCCGTGGAGAGGCCATCGATTCCCGGAGTCCTCCTTGAAGCCATCTGGTTCACTGCAGCCGTCAGCTCCTCCAGCGTCAGCTCTCCGTCCAGCGTAGCCCTCCCTGCTGGACTGAGCTGGGGAAGACCCTCCAGGGGCTCCTTACAGCTCTCTGTCCAGCATTGCTCTTCCCCAAAAAGAACAGCGTAGAAACCCACGGCATGGGTTCTCATCTCCCTCTGGTCGTTGGTTATCCTGGAGCTTCAGAAAGGTCATCCGCTTCCTCTGCGCCACCGATCTCTCCAGGTTGTAGAAAATCGAGCTAGGGGCACCCATGTCCTTCAACTGGCGAAAGAGAGACCTGACCAGAGCTCCCTTCACTCTCTCTTGCAGGAAGGAGCTCAACTCCAACCTCCTCTCTTTCAGCAGTTGGCCCACACTGGGATCCGGGTCTCTCTGGAAGCCCTCCTCAATACTTTTTTTGTTGGCTTCAAGGTCTAGGTTCAAGGACAGCAGACTTGATTTTAGCGGTTGCGTTTGAGGTGTACTGCTGGCAGAACACACAGATCTGTGCCTTTCCGACCTCCCAGCACTGTTTCAGAGAACTGAAACTAACTTTTTCAGTTCAAAGCTCTGACAAAAGTGCTGTCCTGCAGAAGTTTACTATTAAAATGCCAGTGGGAGTTAACCCTTTTACCCGGTGAGGTTATCATGCCTAAACTGACGAGGTGGTGGTCGGTGAACCCAACTGGATTGATTGTGCTGTTTGTTAGTCTGGAACTGAGACTGTGAGAGATGTAAATTCTGTCCAGCCTGGCTGCACTTATCCTGTTGATGCTGGCCCTTGTTTTGTGGGAGTTTTACTCTCCATGTATCCAACAGATCTAAGTGTGTGATGACGTTGTTGAGACTCTGAGATAACTGTGGGTGTGGTTCCTCATTATTTCTGTCTATGGTGAAGTCTAGAGTGCAGTTGAAATCCCCTCCTGAAGGCAGCTCTGCAGTTTTGCAGCATAGTGAAGAAGCGTGCTCTTTCTGGCCCCTGATTTGTTCACGAAGCAGTAATGCGAGCTCTCTATCTCTGCCCTCACCATCAGCAAACGACCCTTCACCACCTCAGTGACAGATAGAACTGTTGCATTAGCTGCTGTTCTAAACAGCACGGCTACTCTGGCACTAAGATTGGTGCCAAAACCCATCTGTCTCTGCACCACCCCAACAGATCGTATGAACTTCTCAAAGTCACTGAAATATTCACTCACTTTTGCAGATCTTTTGCAAGTTACATCCAAAAACAAGTTTATTTCCTCTAATGAATACAGATCAGTGCTTTTAATGCACATTTCAGAATTAGATGCAGTATCTGATTCACTCTCATACTCCATGTCCTCTCCTTCACAAGACAGCTGGCTGTTGGACCCAGCCCCTACACTCTGTTCTTCATCTAAGGCAGGGGTGTCCAAACAGTCCCTGCTGACATTATTTTAAACAATACAAGTAGCCTATACATACATTGTTATTTAATCATTTTATTTTCAATGACAGCAAATAGCAATGTAACCAAATGTAAGCATTCAGGTGTGAACAAATATTCTGCCTTTCTTTCACATCTTGAAAGTCAGATAACATAAAGAACAAGCCATCTAAAAGCTAATTACATAGAAACCGATCAATATTTTCACCTCAAGACAATCTTAAATATGACTTAGTGAGGGTAATGAAAAGTTGTCTAACATTTAAGTTCAACACACATGAAACAGGCTAACGAAAAAAAATCAAGTTGTCTCTTAATATCAGATGATGGCACTTCAGTGTTACGAGCCAGGCAAACTGAATACTTAAGAGGTAAACTTACACACAGGACATGCAGGGCCACGGCTCCTTCTGTTCTCTCTTTGTTGGTGAACAGGTCGGTGGGGAACTCGTGCAGAGCTGGAAGAGACAGACACACACTGTAGGGTTAGAACAGGGTGTGTTTATACATATGTGTGTGTTTCTGCAGAGTGTGGACTTGGCCAAATGTGTGTGAAAGTTTGACTGCGCCCTGATTGTGTATGAGCAGGAAGAGGAGACCAGGGACATGGAAAAAGGGAGCACAGGAGGACAAAGTGAGGACGAAGTGAGAGAGATCACTGCAGAAATAGAGCGAGGGATATTCAGGGTAAGATGGAGAGGGTGGTGTGAGGTGCAAACTCCACTTCTCTGCATAGGAATCCAGAGAGTGAGACTCAGGGACACGTTGGCACACAGAGAGAGTGTGAGGGACAATGGAGAGAAAGACGTGAAATGACGGAGCTTGGTTTAAAATGTTATTCTCCCCCCCCCCCCCTCCATGACTTCCTGACTTCCTCCTCTCTCAGCCCCACACTCCCTCCTCGACTGTGGACCAACTGACCAACGCTGTCTCTCCAGCCGTGCCCCCCGAGGATGGCCACAGAGTGACAGGAGACAAGGAAACACAAGGTCTGACTCATCTTACAGAGAGCAAGATGTCTTCTGCATCCCTCAGGCCCGCTCAGGAGACAGGGAGGCGACCCAGAAGGGAATCAATAAACCAAGTTAGTAGTTTATCATTCCACCTACCTTTGGTCTTATTTCAGCCTAACCTCCCTCGCAAAATGAGAGCAGAGAGAATAGTTCACTTCCCTCCCACTGTTCTCTCCCACTCTCCCCCGTTTTGTACTACGTCGACCTATTTGCATCTCCAGCACCTTCGCTGTGTTCGAGCGGCTGCAGTCCTCCTCTGCACTGTGTTCCACTGCTAGAACTTCTTCAGCCTAGCACGAGGCAGAGACGCCTGTAAAAAAACACAGAGGGGCCGAAGCAGCGGAGCAGACGGCCATCTCACAGCCACAGCTGGATGTGTTGAATGTCTGCTGTATTTAACATAGAGACACAACAAGCAGCTCTTGTGACAGCAATCAGGGCTTAATGTGGACAAACACTCTTCAGTAATGAGCATCAGAGCTTGTGCGTGGCATTTTTCAGCCCTTTTCTTGTCTGAAGCAGAAATGAGAACAAAAATAAAACACTGGGTGGGCCCATTCCTCCTTCACAGACAGACTCAAAGTTGGGCACACACGCACACACACACCTTTGTATTGGCTGCCAAGTAATAATGCAGGAAGTAGGCAGCGGCATAGTCACACAGTTCTCTGAGGTTCCTGTATGACCGGGTTACACATGTATGCAGCTTTTCACAGAGGTTCCTAGTTTAAACGAGCTGGACTGAGATTGTATTAACGCCAATGGGGCCACACACTTGAACACATACATCAACACTCTTACTCTCCTTTAATCCTTCCACCATGTAGGGACAGTTGACTGAGCACACTCTATTGCACACGGTTCACTCGTGGAAGCTGCTCGTTCATGGTCGCCTGCTGAATCCTGAGTGAGGGTTGAGCAGCTCACACACTGTACCCGACACTCTGGTGACAGAAGATGGTGGTGGGCACATCTATTGGATCTACTGGAGCCGATCCCAGCTGACATTGGTGACTTACAGTATATACTCACACTCACATCGACACTTTAGAGTCAACCAACATAAGCTGCATGTCTTTGGACTGTGGGAAGAAGTCGGAGAACCCGGACACGGGGCCCCTCTTGTTGTGAGGCGACAGTACTAGCCGCTTGTGAATTTGAGGAGTGACTCATCCTCTTCAAACACATGTTCATACCAGACACCCAGGCATAGGGAGGGCGCTTTCAGGTTCAACAAGACGATGCTGACTTGTCCTCTCTGAGCTGCCAGGAGGTATATGTAAAGGTCCAAACTACTCCACACATAATGGAGCTGATAACCACTCACAAGTATCCAGATTCAGGCCTTCACAGAGCAGAGACGGTAATGCTGCTTCTGTCTTTTTTGAATAAGAATTGCTGGGGCACCGGCAGGACGCCGGCGATGCAGCTGCTAATTCCTGCCACCGTGAGACACTGCGTGCACGACTTCACATGTTATTTCATGTGTGGAGTGCGTGGCGCTGAAAATGATGCATTGCAAATTTTGTAGCACCTCCTGTGTCCAGTATGTGGTGCTAGAGAACACACACTAATTTCACATCATGTACATCTTATGTGATGATCTTTGCCACATGAGGTTGACTTCCTGTGCTCAGTAGGTGGTGCTATGACTATGACTCAATATGGGCTTGTAAATTTGAGATGCTTCCGTTGAATCTCTAGGAGGAGTTTGAAAAGTTCCATACCTGTAAAGAGCCTAAAATAGCATATTGTCATATGACCGATGACATCATCATTCAAGGTATCAATTATTCCTTCACAATTAAGCGTTGCATTAGCCGGAGGGTTGTACCAACAAAATGTGACAGGAATCCAATCAACCCTCTGGGAGGAGTTTGAAAAAGTTTGCATAAAATACATCCAACCCTGAAAATGTTACTGAATGGGAAACTATCATCAAGCACTGTAAAAACATTATTACAATCGTCATATACAAAGAGGTACAAAGATGAAATCTGACCTCTGCACTTAACCCATCCTCATCGTTAGCATCAGGACCAGTGAGCTGCTGTAAAGCTCAAGGGCACTTCGATGTCTGGCTCCTACTGTCCACATGTCCAACCGCTCTGCCCCCTGAGCCACAGACTAATGTAGGTATTAATCTGATACATAGAAGATCACAATGCCCTTTCAGGATTTCAAAGTCTGTCAAAGTTCATTTACAATTTGTCTGCAGAGCAGAGAAACAGTGCACGGCACGCTCAGTTGTGCGCACTCACATCTGTCCACTTTGATTGCTTTCATCGATATCAGAACTCCTGCCCGGGCGCCTGTAAAGTGTGCTCCACGGTATCCGTCTGAACACAAACTCCATAGCAACACAGTGAGAGTCTCCTTGAGGCGCAGTGTGTTTAAGTGGCAGAGAGGTGGGCAAAAACTATAGACCGCCAGCCTTAACCTGGAGGAGTGGCCGTCATCACCGTGATACGGTTGATGCAGTGCATCATGCATGCTGTTTGGGGGTTGGGGGAAAAAAAAGTACACATGTGCCTTGATGTATGATGGGATCTATTGTGGTGTGATGGGGGCTAGTTAAGAGAGGAGGGCTGAGGGGGAAACTTCCAGAGTGAAACCTGAACCTGAACTGACAGCTCAGCAGTAAGAAAGGAAGGAATAGGAAGAAAGAGAGAAAGCTAAGTGGTTGGTCTGGTAATTGGCAGTTTTAAGTAAAGGTCACTGGGATGAACCCATACCAGCTGCTGATGGTGCTCTGGCCCCGACTACCCCTGCTGGCTGTAGTACTGTACACACACACACATATGGCCAGAGAGTTTTCCTCTCTCCCTCCTCTTCTTCACTGCACAATCAGTAACAGCCAATGTATCAATCAGCAATCAGGCTTCAGCTTGATGGGGGACACGTTCTGCCTCAGTCTGCTTCATTCTCCTGTTGGTAGCTGACCACCCGCCCTGCTCGCCCACCTACCTGCTCCTTCCCATGCCCGTCTAATTTACCAGGCAGATTGGAAGCCACTGAGGGCTCTGAATGGAGATGGAGCAGGACTTCTGTTTGGCTTGTTTTCGTCCTGCTGGAGCTCTGCGCCACCTTTGCTTTTCCTTGAGGCTTCACCACGACAGCCGCCGTGTTTTATAAGATGCTGTGAAAATCTCTTTTGCATCCTGTTCATCCTCCTCAAACTGGTTTAATATTTGTCTGCATAATGTCTGTCAGCAGCACGGTGTGCTAGACTACGTGGAATATCTTTCATCTCACTGCTACACTTCATTCTTCTCACTAACAAAAGAGTTGAGTCATGTTACCTTCACCTTAATCACAGATGTCATCGTCAACAGATACAATAAGTGAGCTGGAACTGACAACGGCATCATGCTCAGCCTCGGGCGACTGTGGCTAAGTGGATAGCAGGGCCGTCTTTCAATCAGAGGGTCGGCGGTTCAATCTCCGGCTCCGCTAGTCGCATGTCGATGTGTCCTTGAGCAAGACACTTAACCCCAAAATTGCTCCTGTAGCTGTGCCTACGGTGTAGAAATGTGATAGACTCTGAATTGTAAGTCGCTTTGGATAAAAGCGTTTGCTAAAATGAGTGTAATGCAATGTGTTCCAAGATGGCGTCCCAATGGTTCCAGTGCTAGTTACTCAGTGGGACCATACACTGAAGGCTTCTGCATTTTTTGTGATTACAGACCTTCCAGCTGGCTCCCCACACACATGAATCAAATCATTTACCGATTGAAGTGTTATTGGCCCTAATGGATCAAAGAGTCAGTTCAGAGTGTAAAAAAAATGTATTCAACGTTCTACAGTTGTCTCGTTTGTAACGATGTGATGGAGGAACGTTTGCTTGCTTGTTTTCTCTGATAAGGGACACTGCGTGTCTGGTGTCATCCCTTCCACTGTGTCATTGTAGAAGACACCCAATGTGGCCGCTGAAACTGAAAAACCCTTTTTCTTCTCTTCCCGCCTTGTTAGACAGCCTCCTTGACATTTTGGTGATGTTGACCCACGCGAACACAGAACACTTTTCTGTGTGTAAACATAGCAAAGCAGAAGAGATGGTCATACAAGTCAGGTCAGGAGCATGACACCAAAGTAATGACCCCCTCTGAACACATAATGTATGTGTGCTCACCATCGCTATGACTGGGGAGGCATAGCCACCTTCACTGCAGAGAGACCATGAATGCTCCCGGGTTCAAACCAAAGAAACTTCTGTTTTGTCACGCAGGTGGTAAAAGACCGCAAGCTAACAGTCAGAGTTGTTGATGAATGTTCTGTCAGTTGGCCAGTCGTGAGGTTACAGATCTCCATGTCGTCTCATAACGTACACACACCCTGAACGTGGGCGAGTGTGTGGGTGTATTTATAGAGAGGGAAATGTACATGCATACAGTGGGTGTTCTAGCTGTTGGCCTGGAGCTCTCCCTCACTCATCTACTGTACTA